CATAGTTCGATTAACGTCATTACGTCATTATTTAACAATAGTATCCTTTGGCGTTTCACGCAAAAGTTCTTTTTTAATTTTGTAAATTAAAGTTCAACTGCAGGTAATTTCTCACACTATGCATGCCAACAGATGAAGGTGGATACAAACTCTCAAGCAAAAGGCCGCCATTTCATTCACTATCTTTTAATTTGTGCCCCCACAACAAACTCAGAGGTGCTGGATGAGGGCATAGTCTCATGCTGCATTCACACCAGACTCAGAACGCGCGTCAAGCGTGAGTGATTTACATGTTAAGTCAATGCAAACGTGCGAATAGACAACCTGCGGCGCGTTACACGCAAATGACACGAACTGTGCGGCGCGGATTGAGCGTTTTGCACGCTTGACACGTGTTTCGCGCGAATTGCTGGAGTTCGAAAGTCTAAACTTCAGTGGACATTCGCGCCGCGTTAACCAATCAGGAGCTTGCTCTTGTGGGGGCGTGATTGTGATGTACACCTATTGTTAAAAAAGAGTTCATCAAACTGGGCTGGGCTCAGTCTGAAGCACCGCTGAAAGCCTCCATTATCCTTTTATCCAAAGCGACTAACAAATGAGGACAAGGAAGCAATTTACACAACTATAAGAGCAACAATGAATAAGCGCTATAGGCAAGTTTCAGGTCTGTAAAGTCTAAGAAGGAAAGTATTAGTAGTATTAATTTTTTTTTTTTTTTTTTGGGTTCAGTTAGTGTGATATTCAGAGAGGCAATTGCAGATTAGGACGTGAAGTGGAGACTAAATAGTTGAGTTTTTAGTCGTTTCTTGAAAATAGCGAGTGACTCTGCTGTTCTAATGCAGTTAGGGAGTTCATTCCACCAACTTTTGTCACATGGCTGCATTTTATTAGTTTTTTTTCAACTGGTTTGGACCAAAGCAATCAGTGTGGTGTGAAAAGGACCCAAAAACGGCAGAAAAGTACTGCAGTGTTTCATTTGTTGCCCTTGGTCTACCAAATGAACAGAACCACCGATGTGAAAGCACCCTTAATTTGTTTTCTGTTTAGTTCGATTATAACTTTAGTTTGATTAAGCTAATCTAAAATCACAGTTTACATGATACAGAGTACTGTCTTAATCTTCTTAAAAAACTGTGTCCATGTAAACGTACACACTGTTCTATTTGGATGTCATTGTGGTCTCTTTCTTTCACAACCTATAGTGGCTTCGGATCTAGTGCTGAATGCTCCATTGGTGGAGCAGACTGTCTACATTGAGGACCGACCCCTTCACTTGCTGTACTGTGCAGCAGAGGAAAACTGCCTCGCCAAATCAGCTGCTCAAGCCAGCTGGCCATATGGCCATCGGCGCCTGCTACGCTTCTCCTCCGAGATACACAACATCGGCAAGGCTGACTTCCGGCCACGACTCGGCCGCCATTCCTGGGTGTGGCATGAATGTCATAGGTAATACCTGAGACCCTTCTGTGTGCGTTTACATCAGGGGTGCCCAAACTCGGTCATGGAGGGCCGGTGTCCTGCAAAGTGTAGTTTCAACTCCAATCAGACACATCTGGGCTAGCTAATCAAGCTCTTACTAGGCCTTTTAGAAACATCCTTGCTGGTGTGTTGAGGCAAGTTTAAGCTAAAATCTGCAGGACACCGGCCCTCCAGGACACCCCTAGTTTACACGCTTAAAGTAAGCAGAGAACTATCAAAAATTTTGATTTTTTTTTTTTTTTTTTTACAATTTAACATGCAAATATGTAAACTTTCTATGCAGAAAACCACAGTAACATGAGATTGTAAAGTTTGCCAGATTTCTCATGGACAGCTGGCATCACAGCCCAAACATCAGTGTCATTAGCCTAAAGTCTTATTACCGTGTGTGATGTCTACCTCACAGATTCAAAAGTATTTTACCACAAAAAAAAGTACCTCAAAAGTATTGAGGTAGAATGTAATTTGTTCTATCGAGTCTAATATACAAAGTTGTTTCAAAGAAATGCAGCTATCAAGTTTAACTATAGGGAAGCTCTACTGACCCTACCTAAGCAAGCTAAATGCGACAATTAGGAAGAAATCTTGTTCCAATGTTCATCATTTAATGGAGATGCAGTTTAGGCAGCAGTAGAAAACTACCTGTGGTCCTAATTATATTAAGGATCTTTCCCTATTTAAGATATGAGGTACTGCCTTAAGTGTACTTTTAATCCTCTGAGACTTTTGGTCATCTTCAAGACACATGAAGATATTTTGGATGAAATCCAACAGCTCTCTGATCATAGACAGCAATAGTCCAGTGACATCCAATGTCCAGAAAGGAACCAAACACACTGTCAAAACATTCCATGTGATTTCAGCAGTTCAACTGTAATAATATGAAGCTCCAAGAACACCTTTGAGTGACAAAACACAAATGATTTTGTTGGAGCACTAAAGTGTTCTTGGAGCTTCAAATGATTACAACTGAACCGTTTTTGGTTCCTTTTCTGGACTTCGACTGTCTCTGGGTCATTATATGGAGGATGAGAGAGCTCTCAGATTTCATCCAACATATCCTAATTTAAGTTTTGAAGATGAACGAAGGTGTAAGATGATTGGAAATACAAGAGCGTAACTAATATTAGACTTTTCATGTTTGTTTTACACTAAAAACCAAATTAGTTAATCTGGACATGGCTCAGTGGTCAGCACTAACACCTCACAGCAAGAAGGTCGCTGGTTTCAGTCCCAGCTGGGTCAGTTGACTTTACCGTGTGGAGTTTGCATGTTCTCCCCATATTCCCATGGGTTTCCTCTGGGTGCTCCTGTTTCCCTCACATTCCAAACACATGCACTATAGGTGAATAAACTAATTGGCCATAGTGTATGAGTGTGTTTGTGAGTGTTTCCCGGTAGTGGGTTGCAGCTAAAAGAGTATCCACTGCATAAAACAAATGCTGGAATAGTTGGCAGTTAATTCTACTCTGGCAACCCCTGATAAATAAAGGGACTAATAAAGAAGATTTTATTCTCTCTGTATGAAGTATTTTCTAAGTGTAAAGCAGTTAATTTTCTCTTCACAAAATGTATGTAGTGTTTGCAGCAAACATGCCAGCCTGTGTTAAAAATACAGTGATATGTCTGTGTAAGATGAGTATTCCTGCACAGGAGCAACACTAGGAGAAGGCTGAGTGACTGATTGTGTAGAATAACTGAATATGTAAAGCACTGATTATTTATGTTAAATACTTGTATGAAAGTATATGTGTCAGAAGTTGGAATGAGTAACATATTATCAAGTTATTATCCTATCATAACAATGTATGTAAACACTTAGTTCCTTTGCATAAGTTGCATCTATACTTTGCTGACATAGACCTGTAACATCTCTGTTGACATGAACTAGTGGGCTGAGAGCCAAGAATAGCAGGACCCCTTAGACTAAAAACCTATTCAAAAATGGTCAAGAGTTAAAAAGAGACTTAGGGGTGTGTCAAATAATCCTGTATAAAAATTGTAACAAACACAGATACTTCAGAAGGTGTCCAGGAGAGACTTCAGAATGCTCTGGGGTCTGCTCTGCTCTTTCTTGGCTTTATTATGGAGAATAAAGTCTATTTTCTGATATTCAAAACCTCCGGTCTGATAATTTGTAAGTCGAAATTCACGACACTAAGCCAAAAGAAAACGAATGAATGAGTTCATTTGGACCGTTCACTCAAAAAATCGATACCATCAATGTTGAAAAGTAGCAAAAACAAATACTATGGAATGGTTATAGATCACCAACATTCTTCAAAATATCTCTTGATGTTGAAAAGAACAAAGATCAAAACCTTTATAATAGTGAACGATAACAGAATGTTTATTTTTTGGTGAACTATCCCTTTAATTGTGCACTTGTTTGAGTACTAAGGATTGTTAATAGTACAGAAATCCAAGAATGCATGTCAAGTATGCACTTGAGTATGTTGCAATGCTTTAGCTCAGCATTCATGTATTTCCATAGAATGTTTCAATCTGAAGCGGGGCATGCAGCATCAAAACTTGAGCTCAGATTGAATAACGCATAAACCGATGTTCATGTTCACTGATGGCAACGTGGTTCGCTCAAAGTGCTTGAATTGGTTTGCTTGGTTTGAGCGAAGATCAATCAAGTGTGTTTTTCTTTCGAAAGTCTGGCAGCTTCACTCAGACTCCATCCTGATCCAGCTGCGGCCCCAAGGACCCATATGGCTTTACTAACACAGAGTGGTCATGTCGGCTGAACGTCTGATTCCAGAGGTCATAAACTGATATAAATTTCTTCGTACAAACCAGAGAAGAAGCCTCCAGACCCTGGACAGCCCACAGGGTGAATGAAAGTTCAAGCTGGCGGTCTCGGTTTTAGAAGAACACACGTGTGCCGACATGATCCACGACTGGTTATATCAATCCCACAGTGGATTTTGTTTGTCATGGTCGTAATCTGAAGAGCATGGGCTTGGTGCTTTAATAATTATTTTTTAATGCCTGCAAGGTATCGATTACAATCATTTTTAATCTACTTAACTGATTTAATCTTTGCTTTCCGCATTAAAGACATGCCAGTCTTCTATGTAACTGTAAATTATGCTGAGTTCAGACTGCAAGATTTTCAAAGTAGTCTGGTCACAGATGTTTTCACACTGCAAGATGGATTGGCGACAGGGGCTTTCACACTGCATGACTTTACAATTGGAAGAATCACAGACAACTTTGTTTCTATCAGTAAATTACATCTCATAACCAAACACATGCGAGAAGTGACATGGAAACAACGCAGGGTATACCTTTTGTTATTAACTACATCATAAGAAAGAAGCCTTTGGTGGGGTAGAATCTGTACTTATTCTGCTCACCTGGCTTTGAAGGGAGTAATCAAGTTCTCCTTAACTTTTTTTTTCGACCCGGTTGTAATAATGCTCACATGACACGTCAAACAGACAAGGGTGCTCCTGCCAAACGTACACTAGTTTTTCCTCCATTTCTTGGGTCCAAATAGACTGAAAAGAAGTCCTTTTAACATCTCTCTCAACCTCCCGGTGGCCCATAGATACCCATAATAATGGATGCTGCTCTATCATTGGCTGTAGGTGATCGCCGATGTTGTTTTCAATCAGGACACATTTCACACGGCATGATTGAATCAGGGCGAAGCAGTGGCGCAGTAGGTAGTGCTGTCGCCTCACAGCAAGAAGGTCGCTGGGTCAAGCCTCGGCTCAGTTGGCGTTTCTGTGTGGAGTTTGCATTTTCTTCCTGCATTCACGCGGGTTTCCTCCGGGTGCTTCGGTTTCCCCCACAGTCCAAAGACATGCGGTACAGGTGAATTGGGTAGGCTAAATTGTCCATAGTGTATGAGTGTGTGTGTGAATGTGTGTGTAGATGTTTCCCAGTGATGGGTTGCGGCTGGAAGGGCATCCGCTGCATAAAAACTTGCTGGATAAGTTGCCGGTTCATTCCGCTGGATTAATAAAGGGACTAAGGCGACAATAAAATGAATGATTAAATTATTTGAATCGCCGACAGCTTCGGAAATTTAGCATGCCAAATATCTGGTGTCGGCACTCATCAGCGATACTCTCAGATTGGGTCTTTGATAGTTACTCACGGTAACAAGCACCGATTTGCCTTTAATTTCAGGCATTTGTCGGCGATTTCTTAAAACCTGGCGGCGAGTCAAAAATGGGGCTAAATTTATGCAGGCTGAAATCGGCATTAGTAAAATATTGACTCTTATAAGCACCAGACCATGGTCAAAGCTCATAAAACACAGTCAAATTTGCTCTATATAATGTAAAATATCATGATTAATACTTATTCGAGGTCTGTTGAATATGATGATCAATAATCATTTACGATAAATTAAATGCAATTAGTTTGCTTTACTTAAATAGGTGAGAAAAACCCATTGATTTTAAAGCGATTAGCTGACTTTAAAAAGTAAAACCATTGATTATAAAGTGATTAGTTCACTTTACTTATAAAGGTGAGTAAAGTGTTTGCCTTAAAATTATTAAGTAAATGAGCTATGTGCATAATAATAAAAATTAGGTTAAGTCAACTTAACCGTTCCAAGTTACAATTGATTTACTAACAATTTGAAGAAATGAATTTACTTACTTTTTTAAAGTAACTAACCACTTTCTACAGTGTATATCCATAATTTAAAAAAATAATAAATGAGGTCAATAGCAATAATTCAAATATCTGATACACAAATTATCTTTAATCGTCGTTTTAAAATAAGCACTTTTAAGTTTTAAGTTTTTTTCTCAAAAGGATAGTTCACCCAAATAGAGAAATATAATCACTGACTCCCCATTGTGTAATTTCAAGAGTTTCCACTTAGATATACTTGGCGTTTTTTAGCAGGTTTGGTATGCTGTCCCAGGAGAGAACCCTGAGCTCGGAGATATTTGAGCCCAAAGCTCCCACCCGGTCAAATAAGCATATCTGGAGATCCGAGATCAGGTAGTTCTCGAGAGCTCCTCCTTAGAAAAAGGAGGAAAAGGAGGAGATTGGGTGGAAGGGGGGATTCTTCTAAAATAAAAAGAGCAGTAGGGAGAAAATGATCCATTTATTGTAAACTTGGATCACTCTGATTAGATTATTACTGATTACAGATGAGAAGCCAGTCGTGCTCAATCATATCACGTGCTCCTCTCGAAATTAGCATCTGAAACTTCAGTTAACTGAACCTATGGGTGTAAATAAATGTTTTTACAATTTTCTATATTTTTCGACCTCTGAGGTTAAATGATTGGTAAACTAAATAAACCAGTTCAAAAAGTTTATTAAAAATTGTTATAAATTAATATATTTAGACTTATATGTTTATGTATTATACACTTATATATTAATTGTGTTTGATTTGACATTGCAGATCCACAAAAAAGTATAAAGATTTTTAAAAGAACAAAGGTCAAAAAAAGGATAGAAACCTACCAAATAACTATGACTAAAAAGTATCTTCTTACTATTGCTGTTGCATATACACTAAGCCTTGTTGTCAATCCCAGCTGTAAGAATAATCCTAATAAGGTCAAGGTCCTCTAGGATTGGCCAGCCCAGTCACCAGATATGAACATTATTGAGCATGTCTGGGGTAAGGTGGAGGAGGCATTGAAGATGAATTCAAAGAATCCTGATGAACTCTGGGAGTCCTGCAAAAACGCTTTCTTTGCCTTTTCAGATGACTTTATTAATCAGTGATTTGAGTCATTGCAGAGATGTATGGATGCAGTCGTCCAAGCTCATGATGGAGTCAGACACAATATTCATTCTTTTTCCACTGCAGCATGACTTTATATTCCATACTGTACATTATTTCTGTAAAGTGACAATACTTTTGTCTAAGCAAAGTCAAACCTTACTGTCCTAATTTAATGATTACAAATCAAGGCATGATCATATTTTATTTAGGTAAAATAAGTGTAATCTAGAGGCCTTTGCCTTTCATATAAGCCACTTCTGACACCAAATGATCAACTAGAAGTCAAGTTATTATTTGTTGTTCCTAAAACTTGGATAGATAACAAGGTAGTGTACAATATAGAAGATATAGCACTTAAGAAACAATTTTTTGAAATGTATTTTTAGGCCGTGCATTTTTCAGTTGATTTATCAATACGAGTCGCTTCTGAATGGTCTCCATTAACTCTTTGTGGCAGTCTGTGTTTACACTGCTAGCAGACCTCAGGTTTCAATGATGAGGAAACCTGGCTTTGGGACTGTGGCCAGCGTCTGAGAGCCTGGTGTTTACACTGCAGCTTCAGTTGCCTCATACAGGCCTACAGCAGTGCATCTGCTCTCCAAGGCCATTTAAATCTCTTTTTGTCTATGAATATGACAGTTTTGTACGCTCTACTATCCAGGATAGCCTAAAGTCAGTTATTGCGCACACATTGGTACACTTTTAATAATGATTTTCAGTAATATTTGAAAGATATATGATGGCTTCTCCATGTGTTTATGTTCTCCAGGCACTATCATAGTATGGATATCTTCACCTATTATGACCTGCTGTCTCTAAACGGGACCAAAGTGGCAGACGGACATAAAGCGAGCTTCTGTCTGGAGGACACAGAGTGCCATGAGGGTAAGACAGAGGTCAGAGGTCACACAAATGCAGAATGTATCTGCACAATGATTCTTTGATCTCATCATAGAAATGTTATTTTATTATTGACGATTCCTTATGATAGTCCTTAATCACAATTTAGTTTTCAGACATTTACCTGCTTGAAAGCTCTTTTATTCCTAAAGATAATGCATCATTTTGCTATCAGCGATACAGACCTTTAGAGTACAATTATGCAGAAGGTGGTTGTTTACTTACTAGGCGTCCATAGGGACTACTATAACTACCCTATACCGAAGGAAATCACTGAAGACAACAGTATCATGTTATCATAACGATATAGTATGGCAATAAGCTCATAACTGTACTGTGCATTTACACCCTGACCATATTCATCAACTGTATGTAAACACACGAAAACAACATTAACTGTAAAACAGGATATTCCCAGCCACTAGACTCTTCTGCCAGGGTATTCGAGTGACAGATTTGAAACTATGTTGTGGGACCACTATACAGTTATTATTATGGATTAACATAGAGAAATTTAGTGGGGGCGGGGTTTATTATTTATAAAAGAAAGCATGACCGTAAAACACAAACGCCATTGTTAATGTATTAACACATACGCTTGTTCGTTGTAAAAAAAAAAAAATCAATAATGCCAAAAAAAAAACTAATTTGTGCATCTCTAGATGGTGTATTCTGAGGAATTTTTGCAATAAATTAAGGCATACAAAAATAAGGGCATAGGCTAGGGATTGGGCCATAGACTCAGAAAACTTCAAAAACTTGGGGTGACGGCATCACCCGAAGCTCATTAATAAGAGCAGAGACGCTACAGTTCAATCTAGAGGTCTGCATTCCCCGAAATAGCTGAATAAAACACGGTAGTAGTTTGGAACTCTGGTGCAATTTGAACGGGAACGGGCGGTCTAAAATTATAGTGCTCCTGAGAGAGAGAGAGAGAGAGAGAGAGCGTGCAATAACACTGCACTAAAAATGGACAAGGGAAAGTAAAAGTACACATTTATAAAACTACGCAATAAATTACAATTCCTGAGAAAAACTACACAAATACAGTAATTTGAGTATTTGTATTTAGTTATTTTACACCACTGGACGGAGCGCTATAAAACCTGGCGGGAGCAGGATTCAAATTTCAGTCCCGCGCAGATCTCTAGTTCTAGAGTCTCAGAAAATCTCGTTAGCTACACCAAAAAAGTCGCTAGATTTTTCGCTTGTCACTTTCCTTTTTTTATATATATGTTGTTTTAAGTTGGCAACATTGGGGAGAATGTGTGCAGCTGTAGGTAAACTCTGAATAAACATATTTAACTTAAATAGTTACTTAATTGAACCACATTAAAGGGCACATAGTTTACCACTTTTTTATGATTTCATATTAATATTAAGGTTTTCCTGAGTGTGCCAGTTTAGGTTCAGTTCAAAACACAGTTCAGATTATTTTATTATCATGTGTTATAATGTGTCATGTTGGGGGTGTGTACACAGCTCACTGCTTTAGGGGTGTGTTGCTTCACATGAAAATTAGTTTCGACTTCCCGCCCAACGTAACAAGGGGGCGGAGCCAAGAACTCCCCCGCTCTGTGTTTGGCAACAGACAGGCAGACAGAGAGAAGCAACATGAGTGAGAGGATCAGCATTCAGCCGTACATGTGCGAGTCGTACACAGACCAAGCAGAGTACACAATCATTTGTGTCTTTGTTTAGTTTTATAGCCAACTGTGTGCTAGTTTAAAGTGCCGAGCTTGTACACCGAGACTAATAACCACACACACTGAATTAACTTTGACTGAGGCACCGGATGCGCCACTCGGAGCCGTGACACGGCACACCAGGCACGCACATTCGGATGTTATTTAATATGAAACTCAGATCAGATGGCGCTCTGTGGCGTGTGGCATGAAGTGTCCCGAATCGTGGCTGAGGACCGCGGACAGCCGCAAACTTGAAGCGCAGTTGTGTGTACCCTGATAGAAACCTATGTTTAGAATTCTAAAATGCATGGTGCTTCTGGTGTGCAACCTGCAGGCAAGTTTGTTATTTTTTCCAATGGAGAGACATGTACGTGAGGCAACACGCTCGCACTTTCCAGCTGCACCTAGTGAAGATCACAGGGAGCTTCTGTGACCGCGAGAAATGCAAACGGATGAAGTTTAAGGTAGATGCAATGAAAAGTACACGTTTGCAAACCTATCTAAAGTTACAAACAATAATTCCGATTAGAGTGATCATGTGGAGAATATTGATCTTATGTTGAGCCCAATGAGCCGTACTTCTAAAAATTGAGCAAGGGTGTTCCTTTAGTGATATCGCTTTGACACACGCTGAAAATGGCGGACGTGAAACAACAAACTGAGGATATGGTGATGCGTGCAGGTCAATCAATATTGGTGGGCAAGGGGACCGCACTCCTTCATCAAGTTGCGGTCGCTTTGAAATCCGCTCCAATTGGTCCACCATTTTTATGTTGTTAAATTGAAAAAAAAAAGGACTGGGTGTGTTTATATCACTCCAATATGATGTCTATACACTATACCTACACACCTGTCTGTCCAAACAGCTTGAAAAGTAGATTTTTCACCATAGGTGCCCTTTAAATCATTATGAGCCATAGTCATCGATGAATAATTCAAATGTATTCTGGTGTACGTTCACTTTTAGAAAGGTTTCTACACAAAATGTTTTAAATCAGACCCCTCGAGCTGTTGGCAAACAACTCCACTCCATATGCAGAAGCAAATGTTCAGACTTTGAATAAAGTTTACAAAAACTGTTTTATTCCAGTGGATTAACATGGATTCATTGTTCGCCTAAAAAAAATGTGCACTAGCAAAATAAATATCTTTGATTTCACTCTGACTTTAAAATTGAGAGCAGTGTTTTTTTATGTCATGCATGAAACTGAAAAAAGCACATTTACATACAAAACATGGGAAAGGCAGCGTGTGTGATGCAAAAACACTTTCTGTGTGAATGACCCCTAGGCTAGTTAGAGGTTGTTATTTTGCTGGAATGATGGCTCGTTTCTCCAAAAATACACTGAGGTGTTACTTTCCTCTCTGCAGGTGTTTCAAAGCGCTACGAATGTGCTAACTTCGGAGAGCAGGGCATCACAGTGGGCTGCTGGGACTTGTACAGACATGATATTGACTGCCAGTGGATTGACATCACGGACGTTTCGCCAGGAAACTACATTCTGCAGGTAGCTATATTTATTCAGCTATATTTTCATCATCTAGATAGCACACTAGCAGCAAAGACTGTTACATGAGCAGGCTTTGGTCCCGTAGGACCCCATTGTCTGGGCTTTTCACCAGTCAAACAGCTGTCTCACTTCTGTCCTCTAGTGGTGGAGTGTTTCACAGCACTCACCATCACGTCCAGGCATGCAAGAGTTAGGATACTAATAGGATTTGGTTTGATTAATGATGTAATAAACCTTAAGTACACACAGTAGGAGGTGGAAGGAAGGGTTTTACTCAGAAAAAAACCCCACCCGGATTACGATTAACAAACAAAAAGACATTGTCATGTTTACTTAAAGCCACGCTTTACTCATGTTCTGATCAAGTTTGATTATAATTAGTGTTCTCTTCCTCTCTCAGGTCATAATAAATCCCAACTTTGAGGTCGCTGAGAGCGACTTCACCAACAACGCCATGCGGTGCAACTGCAAATACGACGGCCATCGTGTCTGGTTGCATAAATGTCATCTCGGTGAGACGGGGTGTTCTCTGGGTCCTTTTAGACCTGTCTGTTTCTATTAATCATGACATGCTTGCTTGTTCAGATATTTTAGATGAGGACAGCATTAAATTAACGGGGCATTTATTCGACAGTTTTTAGTGCATTTGGGCTGTTCATTTACACAAAAGTAATGCTAATACAAGTTTTCAATGGAAATGGCCGATTTAAAATTAGCATATAGTGTCAGACACCATGCCTTTTAGTGACAAAATAATATATCAAAATCTTATGCTTTTAGAGATATATAGAAAATAAAATGCTATATAGTAAAATAGCCACTTGGAAAATTATGCCTCTGGTATTTATTACGAGTTTTGCTCATTTCTTTTTAATTTAAAAGAGCTGTAACTTTTTATTATTATTATTATTTGTAATTTCACACCAAGATTTGGCTCAAAAATGTAATAACAGCAGATTTTTTTTAAACAAGAAGTTCATTAAAGACAGATAAATGTTTAACTACATTTTACACTTTTGTCATGTGTGACTGAAAAAGCAATGTTATACCAACAACCCACATGGGCTGCACAATATATCGTTTCAGCATCAATATTGCACCGCTGCTTGTAAATGCAAATTTTTAATCACTCACAATCAAATCAATGCATGTAGACATGGTCAAGACGATCTGCTGCAGTTCAAACTGAGCATCAGAATGGGAGAGGTGATTTAAGTGACTTTGAACGAGGCATGTTTGTGGGTGTCAGACAGGCTGGTCGATTTCAGAAACTGCTGATCTACTGGGATTTTCATGCACAACCATCTCCAGGGGTTTACAGAGAATGGTCTGAAAAAGAGTAAATATTCAGCGAGCGGCAGTTCTGTTGGTGCAACTGCCTTGATAATGTCAGAGGAGATCGGCCAGACTGGTTCTAGCTGGTTTAGTAGCTCAAATAAGCACTCGTTACATCCAAGGTATGCAGAAGACCATCTCTGAATGCACAATGTGAAACCTTGAGGCAGATGTGCTACAGCAGCAGAAGACCACACCAGGTGCCACTCATGTCAGCTAAGGACAGGAAACAGGCTACAATTTGCACAGGCTCACTAAAATTGGACAATAGAAGACTGGAAAAACGTTGCCTGGTCTGATGAGTCTCGATGTCTGCTGCGACACTCATATGACAGGGTCAGAAATTGGCATCAACAACATGAAAGCATGGGATAGCGCATCATGTCGGAGTGTGAATTATCTCAGACTGGTTTCTTGAACATGAAAATGAGTTCACTGTACTCAAATGGCCTCCACAGTCACCAGATCACAAACCAATAGAGCACCTCTGGGATGTGGTGAAACGGAAGATTTGCATCATGGATGTGCAGCCGTCAAATGTGCAGCAACTGAGTGTTGCTCTCATGTCAATATGAACCAAAATCTCTGAGGAATATTTCCAGTACCTTGTTGAATCTATGCCATGAAGGATTAAGGCAGTTCTGAAGGCAAAAGGTGGTCCAACCCGGTACTAGTAAGGTGTACTTAATAAAGCGGCCAGTGAGTGTATATTGCGATCATGATTTTTAAAAGTATTATAGTGTTTTGCAAACCTTTATTACCATTTGTTGAGCTTTCCAGTACAGTTTCATAGAGCGCTTGGACCAGAAAGCTGCTTCGTGTGACATCAGTCTTAACAAGTGGATTAATAGTCAATAAGGTAGCAGTAGTTTCAGTATCAGTAGGGTAGGTTAATGATGTAGAATAAGATCATACTTTATAAGTGCTAATAAACTGCCAATATCTTAGTAATAGGCAGGTAATAAGTAGCTTATAATAGTGGCAATTTGTAAGTTTCCACGTGACATTGGCAACTACATACAGTTGAAGTCAGAACTGTTAGCCCCCCTGAATTATAAGCCCTCGTTTATTTGTTTATTTCTGTTTAACGGAGAGATTTATTCATCACATTTCTAAACATAAGTGTTAATAACTCATTTCTAATAACTGATTAGAAATTAAAAATATTTTTTTTGCCATGACGACAGTAAATAGTATTTTACTAGATATTAGTAAAATACTAGACACTTCTATACAGCTTAAAGTGACATTTAAAAGCTTAACTAGGTTAATTAGGTTAACTAGGCAGGTTAGGGTAATTAGGCAAGTTATTGTATAACGATGGTTTGTTCTGTATTGAAAATTCGACTATCGAAAAAAATATATAGCTTAAAGGGGCTAATGATTTTGTACTTAAAATGATTTTTAAAAAATTTAAAATGGCTTTTATTCTAGCTGAAATAAACCAAATCAGGCTTTCTCCAGAAGAAAAAAATATTATCTGACATACTGTGAAAATTTCCTGAATCTGTTAAACATCATTTGGGAAATATTTAAAAAGTAAAATAAAATTCAAAGGGGGGCTAATAATTCTGACTTCAACTGTACATGTAGAATGCAGTCATTTTTGTGGAACCATATATGGAGAGAAAAAAAAAAAACATGTCTGATTTACTACATTATCATTATGTACACAAACCCTTCAGTTTTTGTCATCAATTTACCATTTAACTCGTGTTATTTACGTTTTGTTTAGGTGATTCTTTCAGTGAGGAGGCCGAGAAAGAGTTTGAACATTATCCCGGGCAGCTCAACAACAAGATCTCATAACATTTCCGTGTATAAACCCCAGGGAACCGCAACAACAGCGTGGCTCTGGACAAAGACCAACTTTAATCACTTAATGCTATTCTTTCTCATTTGAATCCACTGCTACCGTGGGCCAATCACATGCTGCGTCATGCGGACTTTACTTTTAGATTAGATCATCAGAAACGATCACGCAAGCAGAGGACTTCCGACTGAACAGAGCTGTGATTGTGGCTTGTGTCAATGCAAATGAAAAGAGGAAGATAGTGGCTATAACACTTCTCTTTTGTATGAAGCATGAACACCATTCAGTCTGAAACACCAGTGGATTTTAAGACACATCAAGAAAGTTTTTTTGAGTGTTTACAGGCTGTAATTTCTAATGCAAAAAATCTTCAATATATGTGCATGTTGATGCCCATGAATGATTGATGTCTATTTTATGTGTACATTTGTATATTTCTGGAATGTCCTTCAATCATGTTTGTAAAATATACAAACCTGCACTTTAATAAAAAAAAATATATAAATGCTTTTTACAGCCTACTTTATAATCTAAAATAAAGAAAGATGAAAACATTTGTGAAAATGTAGTCTCTCTTTTAAAGTTTAACCCTTGTGTGCTGTTAGGGACATTTGGCCACACCAGTCTGGTTTTCAGCTGGCAGATTTATTTTTGAAGACATCTTATTTTTAGAAAAAAAAAACAACACTGGGCAAATTTACTACCATTTTGTTATGTCCGGGATGACAGAAACCACAAAAGTAAACTGCTGTAAAAATGCATCAGATAAACGTCTTGCATAAATCTGTTCATCAACCTCGGTCCTGATCAACACTTCTAAATTTCTTAAAATATTCCATTATTTTAACTGTTGCCAAATTCATAAATGTCAGTGATTTGGCTGAATAAACACACAAAATGATGCATTTTCAAAATGTAAAGTATGCAGGATTGTATTTAATTTTTTTTATATATACACACTTCATTTTTGTGTATGTCTGGCATTGTTCTGTAGGTATCATTCTTGCATTAACAAAAAATAAAAAAAATCACTATAAAACTAAAATAAATCACTCACCCTTTACTGGTTTTAAACCAGTTTGAAAACCTGCATTTGACTTCCAGTCAGAAAAACCTAATATAGTAGTCGATAGTGACAGGTACTCGTTCTCCTTTATTTTACACTGAACAGAAATTAACTTGTATGGAGAAAGTTAACAGTAAGTGACAACATTCATTGTTGGGTGAACTATGCCCTTGAGATTGCCATCATGTTGTTTTTCCACCCAAGTATAGAGAAGTATGATTTAGGAAGTTGCCTGGGTGCATTTCACAACCACATGACTTCAACTGCATTCTCTAGGCTGTTTAGTAAAAACAATTGTCCATTTAAACGACTCATTCGAGTATGCGTAACAGAGCTGAATTCATTTAAGTCAAGCTCTTTTCAAACTTTCCAGCACTTAATTGCATAATATTGAGGTTCACATTCACATAACTACATTAGATACTACGTGCATAATTGATGAGTAAAGTTAGGACAAATAATAATAATAAAAAAATGTTTGGCGCAGTCTAATGAAAAAAAAAAAAAAAAAAAAAAAAACCACACTACACGCATATACACAAACTCTAGAAATTAACATTAATAATTAACCCATTTAGGGAAAAAAAATAAAAAGCCCTTACCACACCTTGTATCCTAGATTAACCCTTAAGAATCCTGCATTTGACTTGTACTCAAAATAAAGACTAGTAAAGCAGTTAAGTTCTTATGTTTCTTTTATTAACATGAAAAGGAACAACTGAAGGTTTTAAGTGACAGGATATGCAGTACGAAAAAAAAAAAAAATACATAAGGTGACAAGATTTGAAAGGGAAAACACAAGATGGAACAGACTGGTTAATTTAAGCGAGCTCCTCCTCTCCCTCCTCCTCAAACTCCCCTTCCTCTTCAGCGGTGGCGTCCTGGTACTGCTGGTACTCGGACACCAGGTCGTTCATGTTGCTCTCGGCCTCTGTGAACTCCATCTCATCCATGCCCTCTCCGGTGTACCAATGCAGGAAAGCCTTGCGCCTGAACATAGCCGTGAACTGCTCTGAGATGCGCTTGAAGAGCTCCTGGATGGCGGTGCTGTTGCCGATGAAGGTGGCGGCCATCTTGAGGCCTCGTGGTGGAATGTCGCAGACGGCGGTCTTGACGTTGTTTGGGATCCATTCAACGAAGTAGCTGCTGTTCTTGTTCTGGACGTTGAGCATCTGCTCGTCCACCTCCTTCATGGACATGCGACCACGGAAGACGGCGGCGACCGTCAGATAACGGCCGTGACGTGGGTCGCAGGCAGCCATCATGTTTTTGGCATCGAACATCTGCTGGGTGAGTTCGGGAACGGTAAGTGCACGATACTGCTGGCTTCCCCTGCTAGTCAGAGGCGCGAAGCCAGGCATGAAGAAGTGCAGTCGGGGGAAGGGCACCATGTTGACCGCCAATTTACGGAGATCAGCGTTCAACTGGCCTGGAAACCTCAAGCAAGTGGTCACACCGCTCATTGTGGCGGAGACGAGATGGTTGAGGTCTCCGTATGTGGGGGTTGTGAGTTTGAGTGTGCGGAAGCAGATATCGTACAGGGCCTCGTTATCAATACAATAGGTCTCGTCTGTGTTCTCTACTAGCTGATGGACGGACAGTGTGGCGTTGTAGGGCTCGACCACAGTGTCCGAGACTTTAGGAGAGGGCACCACGCTGAAGGTGTTCATGATGCGGTCGGGATACTCCTCGCGGATTTTGCTAATGAGGAGGGTGCCCATACCAGACCCTGTACCTCCACCCAGTGAGTGAGTGAGTTGGAAGCCCTGCAGACAGTCGCAGCTCTCAGCCTCTTTTCGGACCACATCCAGAACGGAATCAACCAGCTCAGCTCCTTCAGTGTAGTGGCCCTTGGCCCAGTTGTTTCCAGCACCACTCTGGCCTATAAGAAATTCAGGAGTTCAGTTAATACATGCAAATAGGATATACAGGGGGTGCAGCTGTATGAAATCCAAAAGTTTACATTCTTAAAATAATCGGTTTCTAAATGGCCGGTCTGTAAAAGTGAGGGGGACGTTTCCACCGTTCCCTTGCAGTTGCTACGCCCCTGGTGTTGTTTCTCTGGATAGGAATTAGTGTAAAATATTACACGTATTGTTCTATAGACGGTTTGATAGATTATTGATTTTGTACGTTTTTTTTGTTTTGAGAATGCAACCGTTAAAAATAAATAATTTTCCATCTGTTTTAAATTAGGATAATTTAATCAAATGTGGATTTAATTTTTAAATATTGGTATTTTCTCATCTAAAATATCCTAAAGTGTCTCTAAGAGATCGTTTTAATATGAATAGACTGCCAAAACTTCATATGAAAAAATAAAAAAAATCCAGTTAATATGGTTTTAATGTGATCATTGCTGTAGATCTATATCAGGTCACAATCTGCCATTCAAATTTTGTTTGGAGCAACTGCAGGATCCATTGTATTCAAATCAGATGTTCTATAGCGGTCAACATTTGAAGTGGATCATAACCGCTCACCAAATTGGTCCTAAAATTATTCAACACCCATTCTAGTCCTAGTACAATTTTGAAAAATGTACAAAAATAAAAATGTAAGATTCTCTTCGACTGTTAACTACTTTGGTTTACCTCAAAGCACAAACAAGGGTTTTTACTAAGGGTTTTTCCTTGGGTTAACAAGTTATAAATTTGCTAGCTAAAACACTGTAATCTTACAAAAAAAAAAAAAAAAGGCTTTAAAAAGGCTACTACTGAATATAGTTAAAACACACGACCAGTGCAGGAGCATAACTTGGGGTCTGTCAGTAGGCGTGACCGTTTGTTAATAGGCAGAGATGGCACAAAATTTAATGGCATTGGAAAACCTCAATTCTTTAAGCAGGGAAAACCCTTGATTCTGAATGAGGACAAGAGTGAAAAATTAAGGTAAATACCGAACACAAAGTTGTCTGGTCTGAAGATCTGACCAAATGGACCAGACCTCACGGAGTCCATTGTACCAGGCTCCAAATCCACCAGCACGGCACGTGGAACATACTTTCCACCTAAAGAAAAAATACAAATTCCAGAATTTCAGGGTTCACAATAAAGATTTAATAAAAAAAATACATAAAAATTAAATAAATAAAAAAATAAAAAAAAGGAAAAATATTAGTAAAGTAATTAGACTCTCACCTGTGGCTTCATTATAATAAACATTAATTCGGTCCAGCTGAAGGTCACTGTCGCCATGGTAACTGCCTGTTGGGTCAATTCCATGCTCGTCACTAATGACTTCCCAGAACTGAAATAAGATGGATTCAAGAGGAACATAAATGCATGTTAATGCTTAAGACCCACAAAGAAAACCGAATCTAGAAATTAAGGTGATAGATTCTGTAAAAAAAAAATGTTAATCCAACATTTAATGACCAGCGCTTCCCGTTATGTGGGCTCCACACTTGTAAAATGGAGATTGCCAAGTCACCGGGGCCATTTTACGCCACCCGAGCTAAGAGAAAAATCGCACGAATCACAGTTCCACTTTTGTCTCGAATATTAACCCAAGATATCGCTCAATAGTTCGACATGAGTCGAATTTGGTCCATGTATGAGGCCAGGGGGAAACATGCGTCATGATATTAGCGTTCCCGCACTTTTCCATGCACACTGAACCAGATACAACCGGCCACATTACGACACGTGATTCGTTCAAGCAAATCGACTCAAACGAACTGGCGAGAGCAAACCGTTCAAATGAGTCAGCGATGCCTTTCAGTCTGGTGACAACAATTGTAGAACGAGACTCGGCTCTTCCAAACAAGCTCAGATGAGTCGAGTCCCTTGCCAATCAGACTCTACGCCGGTCAGGCGCGGCCAACACCCTAAAACTAACGCATTGTTTCACCATTAGTTCATTCAAACCACGATGACTTTCTTACAATAATCGACATTTTTGTAGTAACCCAATCATTTTCCTTCGATAGGAATAGACTTCAAAGGCTATTCGTTTAAGAACTTGTTGCGGGTGAGATTAAGGATCATATTCAGACAAATATCGTTTAGTCAAACATGTTTTTATTATAAATATTAAGACGACTAACACAACAGTCAAGTCAAACACAACATTAATTAACCAGTTTAAATTTTCCCGAGTGTGGATCTAAAACAAGCAAGGATTAGCGTCAGCTTTTCCCGCAAAAATCTAAATCTTAACAAGATTACGATAAAAAATGAAATTTGTTCATTTCCTACCTTGGCACCAATCTGGTTGCCGCACTGTCCAGCCTGTAAATGCACGATCTCCCTCATTGTTGCTTATTTGCTTGGTCGAAAACACAAAACGTAACTGCAAAAGCCCCGTCAAACTCAAAACCCTCGACAATGAGGTCGTAATTCGAGATGTGCTCCTACTTATTCAGTCTGGAGAAATCACCTACATTTCAATGCTTCTCATTGGTTGTGGTATGACGTCTACTGCGTTCTCATTGGCTCTTCCACGTGCTCATTGTTCCGATTGGTTCGTACATGCGACGGCATCTAGA